CTGCTGATGGCAGGGGGGTTGGAACTTTAAGTTCCAACAAGATGATCAAAGATGATCTTTAAGTTCCCTTCCAACCCAAACCATTCTATGGTGTGATTCTATGATTCTAAATTTCACTAGACCAGCATTTTCTTTAAATATCTTTTTAGTCTGATTTATTAATATCAGTATACTGTTTCTTTTCCCCTCAAAAATAAATTAAAACTCAAGGAAGGTAAATGGATGAAGGACAATATGGCAGATTAATCTTGCTAGACTTTGTCATAGCAATTCTGTGCCATGCTGCTTTACATACGAAAAGAAATAATTTCTCAGGTTTAAAAACATACGAATTAAATAAATGTAGCTAAGCCTTGTGTTGCAATATTTAAGTCATTCCAGTGGTATCTGTCAATAGTGTTTGTCTAAAACTGTAACTGTACCTAAACCCCAGTTAAATACAATAAAGGAATACTATACAGTATGTTTCGTAGGGCTTCTCCGAATATACATTCCTCTGCTGTTACTTTTGGCTTTTCTTTCTATGCCCATCCTTATAATGACAGCTACAGATTGAAAACAGGAACAGGGAAAGACTCAGGCTATGTAATCATTCAATGAGAAAGATATCCCTGGAGGCCAGAACTACTACTGCATGTATAAGCTTATTTTTTCCCTTGAAGATGTTAATAAAAATAATCTTTTGTGGGGAGTTATTTTTTTCTTGAGCTTTCCTAAGAGAGTATTTAAAAGAAAACAGAGTTATAAATTACAGATTCCCAGCTCACAAAAGAAAAGAGAGAACCAATAATGCTGTCATCTAAGATGAAGGCACAAATCATAAATCATATTATCCACTTCCGGGCTATAGTGTTCCCTTGTTTCAAGTCACATCTTTAATGTTTAAATTTTATGCTCCAGAAGAAAGTTCGCTTTCCATGCAAGACCTGACAGAGTGTTTAGGTGCATCCCAATATGGTACTGATCATCCCCTGGATATTGTGGTCTATACTCAAGGGAAAACCAACAGTACATGCCAAGTACTATCATTGTTCTGAGGACTACAGTGGAAAAGACAAGTGACCATTTAACTAGTGCTGCCACTGTAATAAATAACTTCTGTGGGAACTACTGACAGTATCTCATTTACTTGGGCAGAACCTTACTTCTGTGACCCACTTCAGGTGGTGCACAGCTTCTGTTGGCATCCTTCCCATCTCTCTCTTTGGCAGAGCTGCCCACCAGGCAGCCCAGGGCACAGCTGTGAGCTGCCTGCCTTCCTCCCAAAAAAGGACTAATGGGGATGAGGTGGGTTATGTTTCTGCTGTATTGCATCTTGAGACCTGGACCTCATTCCATCTCTTCTTTGGGTCGTTGCCTGTGTTAGTCCCCTTTTCGTTTCTGTTTCCTAGACATCCATGGTGCCGTTCCAGAGTGCAGGTGTTGATCAGGCTCCAGCTGTCTGAATTGTATACCCTCACTGTGCTACCAAAAGGAAACAGAAATCCTAACTGCCCTACACCAGTCTGGCAGAGAGGTGTTCCTCCCCAGGCCTGCAGTGGGAAAAGGGTTCATGTCTGGAGGAGTGACATGGCTGTGACAGAAAAACACTCCTGCATGTGTCCTTCTACGAAGAACTCACCTTCATTAAGTCAAGAGGCTGAGTATCTCTGAGCAGAGCAGAAAGCAGGGAGAGTAGGCAATTGAGCTGAGGACATCCTTGGTTGTCCTGAACAAAGCTGTAGGCTGCGGCTGCTTTAGAGGTAACAAATGGAGGAATCACTGCCACTAGATCTTCTTTTAAAAGGAAAGTAGCTAAAATAAGCTTTACTGAGGTCAAGTGAGTGATTTTAAAAAAAAAAAAAAAAAAAGATAAATGCAGTCTTTTCATGAATTCCAAATGACCGGGACCTATTAAGTGGTATCACAAACTGATGGAGAAAGGCACTTCAGAACATTTCTTTCCTCCTGTTTTTGAAGCTGCATAAAAATAAAAGTTAAATTATTTAGAATATTGCCATCCCCATACATTTGCCTTCCATAGCTTTTTAGAAGCTACAGATAATTTACACAATCAAAACAGATTTTGCTATAGTATTTACTACAATATACAACCCTGTACCCGCTGTACTCAGTAATGGAAGCTGGAGCTGGCTCTCAACTTGAAAAGCTTACTTTAAACATTATGTAACATAAAAAAAGGAAAACTACTCATATTATTAGTAAGTATTTTAAAAAGCAAGTGGAAGCCAAACGGTAACAAAAGACAAGAATCCTAAGGTTTAAACAGAGCGGAACATACAGTGATTAACAAGGCCAATGATAATGCCACGCTTTCATTTCTCTTTATATAGATAATTAATACAGAAATGTTTATTGAAGCCCATGGAAACCATTTATTCCTGCAGAATATATTCAAAATGACCAAGTGTAAATTCAAACAATTCCAAAATCAGACCTCTCTGGACAGCCACTCAAGTGTAGCTTACCTGAACTGCACATCTTCATCTGAATATTAAAAATGTGACTCATAAGCATCCTAACCCACAGCATCTGTCCGAAACACATCAGAACAGCTGGAGAATTAGTCAGAACTTGGCCCTCTGCCACCACAATTTCTAGCTGTACACTATGACTTAAAAGAACCTTCATGTACAGTGTGAAAGGCATAATAATTAAAAATATTCCTTGGTAAGTAGTAGGTAGTGATATTTTAAGAGAACTATTTGGTGTCTAATTACTTTGTGTAAGATACAGTAAGCCAGTTCTGGTTTTTTCATCAGTTTGGGAGCTACCCATTTCTGAGTGATGACAGTTGATTTATTGAGGAAAAGACACCATTGTGTGAAAAGTTCATGTGTCTCCGTGCAAATAATTGGGCTTCCTGTTTCAGTTTCATCACCCACAAAATGATTTGAAGTAGAATGAGAAAAACCCAGGGAGTGATGAGTGAGCTGCCACATTGTTGTATTGAGTGCCAGAGCCTGGTCTCAAAAAATACTGCATCTGGTGACTCTGAAAGAGATACACCTCATAATTTTCTCTGCAGTTCAATTTACCTGAGATGACAGCTGATAAACCAAATAAATAGATTTGCATTGTAGTGGACTGATCTTTATTGTCTCAGATACGGAGTTTGTCATTTTCTCTTCTTTGCAGGTGCCATACTCTGAGCTGGGTGGAAAAACTTTAGTGATGGCAGTTTATGACTTCGATCGTTTCTCCAAACATGATATCATTGGGGAATATAAGGTTGCGATGAACACAGTGGACTTCGGTCATGTCACTGAGGAGTGGAGGGACTTGCAAAGTGCCGAGAAGGAAGAGGTAAGAAAAATCAGTTTGGGTTTTTTTTCTGCCAGGACACTTTTATCCTCAGCTGGAGAAACAGTCAAACTAGCAACATTTTTTTTGCCGAGGCAGCTCCCATCTGTTATCAGCATTTCTCAGACTTACTTTGCCTGATAAATTTTTGATAAGCGTCTTTTCCAATACTCACTGAATAGTACATTCTCCTTTGCTAATCCTATTTTCAATCTTTTTGATAGTTCATGCAACATATTAAGGAAGTTTTCATGAGTTTGACTTTTTCTTCAATTGTTGGAGTTTGGGTACATAGAATTTGCATTTGAATTATAAGAGCAGTGTGCATTTAGGCTTCTTTGTGGCCCTAATTGTTCTCAGTGTTTGCATCTCAAGGCATCTTATTGTGCATGAAGATAATGGTAGGTTTTCATTGAAATATCTTACAGTTTTATTGAGCAGCTATGCAATAATATCCATTGATTAGAATTATGCATTTGGCAAAGATCTTGTAATGGCATCTCACTCAAATATTAATCACCTTTTCTATTTTCCTCTCTGTGCCAACATCTTGTGGGTTCATTATTTAGTAGATATAGTGCTACATGTACACAAGACACTTTTTGAAAATACTTCATCACTAAATTGTGCATCCTGTGAGGTTGCTCATAGTCACACATCCACTTTTTTGCTTATTATAAGACCATTTTGTACTCGGTTTTACATTATTTTTCCTTTTGATTACTAGATAATATCTGCCCACTCATAATAGAGTGCACAGCATGCTTCACTTCTCTAGTGGGAGAAGAAAGAATCTGAGTTCCTCGTTGTCTAATTTAGCTAATAAGCTGCTTTGAATTTGACCCTTAGTTTCTGTAATTAAAGGGACAATCTCTGGATGAAATCTTTCCTTAATACAAGTGATGAAAACCTGAGTATTGGATGTAGACTAAAAGTTGTGAAAAATTCAGCAGATGGTGAGCCATGCAGCCTTCTCAGATTTTCAAAAATCGTAGATTTCAGTCTTGCCTTTTTGAGTGTTTTTTTTTTTAAAGACTGTATTTTCAGGTGTGTTTATCCTACTGCTTATTTATTTGAAAGCCACTGCTGCAATCAGACTATTCTGCGTGACATTGTTTCATAGTGACAGCATTTGCAGGGCTCTCTTACTGCATGTGGCTTTGGTACCCGTGCTCTATGGGGCATTTTTCTTCTACTCTTAGAGCTAAAGATGAAAATTTAAAAAGAGAAAAAGGAAGTCTGCAGTTCAAGGGCCCTGTTCCTTTAAAGCCTCAACATACCGGAAAGCTAGAAATGTGAAATCAGACTGTATTAATCCTTCCAAACTTTATTAGGTATCAAACTGGACTTCTATTGTGCTATTGGGTATGCTATCGAAGTGTTTCATGTTTTGCTGTTGCAAAACACATAAACGAAGCCAAATACTACACAAAGAGGGAATGAACCTTCACCTTTTTTGTATAACTTCAAAGTTTTCAGAACATAAACAATTTATATCCCCATATGCAGCTGACAGATAACATGGCATAGATTAGCGTGGGGTTTCATCTGTCTTGTGGCATAGAACATTGCCTCTTGAGTTTTCTAGCTCACGTCCACAGTGAGACCTGATTCAGTCCCTTGGTTGCTTCATAGAGTTAGTATCCTGCTAATACAAAACAATGTTAAAGTTGCTTGAAATGTAGTTTAAGCTACTTCCAAAAATGCATTCTGGTTTGGAAAAAACTTTATTAAAATAAAAGAAGGTAATAAAAAGAAATAATTCTTAAAGTATTTGGATATTAGAAGAGTACTACAAGAACTTTGAATAGTCGGGACAAAACCTAGGTTGTACTTTATTTGTGCTTTCAGAGTCCAAGTGAACTGACAGATGAGTATTTTTACATGTGTTTGTCATTTCTCTATGCAAATGTATTTGCGTGACAGTCATGTTCACTAGAGGAAAACAGCTTTCCTTAGTTCCTGTTTGAGCCTCTGCCCTCACATTTCTTCAGATTTCAGGTACTATATATACAGAAAAAGCATTGTCATTTTTGTTAAATTTTTTGATAGGGCCTTTTTGAAGCTGCTACTGATGCATGGTGTTTTTATTAATAAGAATCTAAGAAATATCATGCTATGAAAACATCCTGAAAAACTGTGCTTGCACCAACTCCCTAAATATTTTTACATAATACAGGAGGTCTCCTATTCCATTTTTGTATCTCTGTGCTCATAAGCATGCAAAGTATCCAATAAATATGGGAAAATATAATAACTTAGGTTATTTGGAGACTTTGTTAATGTTAGTTTTCTATATATTTGTTGTAGCTTTCCTACAACAGCTCCTGAGCTTACTGTACAAATAAAAAGTGACTCCACAAAAACCAGTTACTCAAGATGTAGATCAGTGAAGTGTATTTAATCCAAAAGATCTTCATTTATTTGTGCTCTGTTACAGAACCTCTAATTCTGTCATACATATGTTGAGCCTGATTCAAAGAATAGCTTAGCCCAATTTGAAAAAGAAATATCTACCAAGAACCAAGAGATTTACATCTGTCAGTGGTTTGGGAGCTGTGTTTCGCAGGAAATGTCATTCATGTTTCCACATTTGACTGCTGCCAAGTACTTCACTGTCTTCAATATTCTGGCCTCTGCTCAGCAGTAAAGACGCCACACAAATTCTAGTAGATTTTCACAGAATCACAGAATCACAGAATGTTGGGGATTGGAAGGGACCTCGAAAGATCATCTAGTCCAACCCCCCTGCCGGAGCAGGAACCTAAACAATTTTACACAGGAAGGCGTCCAGGCGGGTCTTGAATGTCTCCAGAGAAGGAGACTCCACAACCTCCCTGGGCAGCCTGTTCCAGTGCTCTGTAACCCTTACTGTAAAGTAGTTTTTTCTCAAGTTTAAGTGGAACCTCCTGTGTTCCAGCTTACACCCATTGCTCCTTGTCCTATCGTTGGGCATCACTGAGAAGAGCCTGGCTCCATCCTCATGACATTTGCCCTTAACATATTTGTAAACATTAATTAGGTCTTCCCTCAGTCTCCTCTTCTCCAAGCTAAAGAGACCCAGCTCCCTCAGCCTCTCCTCATAAGGGAGATGCCTCACTCCCTTAATCATCTTCGTGGCTCTGTGCTGGACCCATTTTAGGATATAATAAGTAGGATATAATAAGTAGGGGACAAAAAGGGGTGGGAGAGGTCCTATAAACCTCTTATTAGCTAACACAGCAGATGTTGCGGAATTCACAGCAGATACAGCTATGACCAATGAGTACCCTGGCTTCAGAATTAGCAAATACAGTGTGGCACATACAAAGGCTAACATAATTTACCTATGCCAGATATGTAGCAACAGACACATGCTTGTCTCTTGGTAGTGATCATGAAGGTGATATGGTGGTCTGGCTTACTAATTGTAAGAAAACATTATAAAAAAAACCAAACTAAAACTTAAGCAACTGGATTTCATCCAAAAATGTATGACAAATGTAATTATATTACTGCCAAAAAATCTTTTGTAGACCATTCTACGTTATATTTGCGTAATGAATTTATCCTTGAAAAGCACATCTGTATATGGTTGCAATATTTGAAGAATGACATGTTCTGTTTCCTTTTTTTTGCACTTAATGTAAATTTGTCGGTTCTTAACAACCTAGCACTCACTTACAATAATTCTAAATATGTTTGCTATTAAGTATCAGATGCCAAACTATCCTTAATGTTTTAATTATGACCCCCAAACAAGATGTATAACAAAGCACATCAGTGGCAATTGTCACCAGTCACTTTGAAAGAACCATCTAGTGGGATTAGTCAAACTTAGTATAAAAATTTCATTTGTGTTGAATTCAGTTGATGCACATCACAGAATATACAATTTAATTAACACTGCAATCATAGAGGGCAAAATCATTTTACAAGCAGTCACTCTTCTTTTTGCTCACTGTACTTTACATCCTTTTTTCTAAATGGGCTTGAGATTGATGGCAGAAGATGAAGGTTTAATGAAATATTTGAAGCTCTGCCTCTCACAGCCCAGCCATTTGAATGGCATCTAACACGGCATTCTCTTCTGGGAAAGGTCTTATTAATGTATTTATGTTGGTGAAGCGCTTTAAAGGTACAATGCTTTATGTAAGCATTTGTTATGACTGTGAGAAAGCTTTGGGAATGTACGAGTCTGTACAATGACCGCTAAATATTGGGGAGGCCACTACTGATGAGCTGCATACCTTGAATCCTTTTTCCCTGGTTGCTTTTAGCTCTGTTGCCCTTGTGAATATATGGAAGTGACTTATCTAGTAGTCCTTCAGTCTCATATGACTGAGAGCATGGGAGGGAAAAGTGGTAGTTACTGAAAGATTATTCACTTTTACCAAGTCTGACATATAATGGTTTGGGCACAGAGTGTTAAAAAACAGATGATAGGAGTTTGCTTCTCTGTGTCATCGAGCAGATGTCAGTGCCATTAACTTTATCTGAGTACACACTGCATCCAATATCTGTTATCACTCCAGTACAGAAGGCCAGACAGACCTCTTCTTTGCTCACAGCAGTGTGAATCATACTGAGAGTCATCTTCTGAATACTTCAACTGATTTCCCTCCAGACACTTTGTTATATTGGCACTTAAATTGAAAACCTGTCATAGCAAACGTTTCAATAAATTTTAGGGAATATAAGGAAGAGCAGAAGCAATTTTTTTCCCCTGAAAGCAGTGGAGAAGCAGAGAGGAGGACAACCAGGGCATCAGGCCCAGTCAACATGGGTTTATGAAAGGCAGGTCTTGCCTGACTAACCTGATCTCCTTCTATGACAGGGCCACATGTGAATGAGGGAAGGCCTGTGGATGTGGTGTACGTAGACTATAGTAAAGTCTTTGACACCATTTACCACAGCATTCTCCTGGAGAAACTGGCCACTCATGGCTTAGATGGATGGACTCTTCTCTGGGTGAAGAACTGGCTGGATGGCCAGGCCCAGAGAGTTGTGGTGGATGGAGTTAA